TGGGATAAACGTGATCTTGATTTGGTCTCTGGAAAAGACTGGAGCTTCACTGTTCTCTCATTAAGGAGATCATGGCATGGAAGGGAGCTGTACATTGATTTCCGCTGAAGATTGGCTCCTTTTCTGGACAGGGACAGAGCGCTGCAGGGACAAGCACTTAGCTGGAGATGGTAAGATGGAACTCAGTCCTAACTACAGAGATCCTTTGACGAGTGACTAATGCCTGACTTGAGTGCGCAAGACTGGAGTGAGACATCAAGGCAAAGCTGGCAACAGGAACAGGCCTCATCCAGGAGCTTCTTTAAATCTACATTATGCCTATTCTGAAGCTTAAAATTGGCTCCTTCTTAGCTGTTTGCTCATCAACATCTGGCATTCACTAGCATCCCATAGTAGCCAGTCGGCTTGGATACATACCTGTATATATATGTACCTCTTTGAAAGCACAGTTAGCAGGTCTACATGGATTGCTGCCCTGATTACACATACCTTGGGTGAGCTTCTAAACACAGCAATGAGAAACACAAAGTCTTCCCCCTCTCAGCATTGACAGAGTGCTTCAGTCACAGGGAGGCAAGATGCCTCCATCCCCTCTACTATAGGAAGGCAGCCATCTTTGGGCCACACCACAACAGGTCCCGGAAAGCATCCCACAAGAATAACTTGAAGCAGGTAGTCTGCAACTTCCAGGGGGACATGACCAAATGGAACATCATTAGCCACCTGGAACACAACTAGCACATCAGATTCGACCTCCCTGATAGAGAGAACCCCTAGTGGCAATAAAGCAGTCCAGATTACTTTGTGTCTTGTTCTAAAATCCATAAAATCCACAAGTCCGGCATTCCTCACTTCCAATCCTTCATGATGCTGCTCAACCACAATGCGGAGAGAAGACACCGGTCCAATACCAACCATGAAGACCTCCCCTCCATATGGCAATGCCCAGACTCAAGCTCATTTTGGGACATAATACTGGAAAACCAAAACCTCAATAAAAGCATGTTTGAAAATCCATTCTATACTCTAGTTTCACTTTTGCAAATCCCCTATCTCCAACAAAAAATGTGTTGGCTTACAGAGAAGCATGTGTTTCTAGCAGTTGTATGGGAGCTGCTAAATTTTACTATTCATTTGCCTAAAAGAAGAAAAAGAAATCTCCTCTGTTGGCCTATTAATCTGTCATAACGAGATTCTTCATAATTAGTTTGTCCCCAACAGTTGCTTTGTAACAGTAGCGAGAGAATATTTCAGGAATGGCAATTACCTCCGGTGTCAAAATGATGGGGAAAACAAATGTTCAACCATCAACAAAATGCAGTGCCTTTTCCACTCCCACCCGATGGTGGGTGACAGCACTGCACATCAGAATTACAGTGCGGTTAATTACTCGGCATGTTGCAATTGAGAATTCATTTCCCCTCTTGAGATGAAATTTGTTGAGCAATGCAGATGGAAGGAGGGGCATCTGCCACTAGGATGGGGGTCATCTGAGGAAATGGTCTTATTGATACATTGCTGTTTCTTTAATTTACTACATAAGTCCAACAATTTTAAGCAGTGAGCACTATTTAAAGGAACTTTCTTTTATTACCTATACATATATCCCACCATTTCAAAGATTTTGCAAAAGGAAAGAGTTTGGCTTCTTTCCTGTTGCTTTACTTAAATTTAATATCCTTCAAAAATAATTCATGTCTGTACTAGTCTTTCCATACTATCCACACTAACACAAAATACAATGGGTTTCTTGGCCATTTGTAAATGGAAGAGTTCCTTGGGCTGGGAGCTCACTGGATTTCAGCACATTATGGAACCTGACATCTGTTTCTGGTGTGAGATTTCCAGGAACGAAGCTAAGGCATACACAGCGTGGAGCTGGTCTCCTCAGATGAGGACCAAGCTCTGCCAGAGCTAGGAATCCTATTCCAGAAAGGGACTAGGAAGGGGAAACCTGCTGTCTTGGCTGTTGACACAAGTGTGCAAAACCGCAGCCTAAGAGAGACATCCTGCCTGGGAGAGCTGTCCTGCCTGGGTTTGGCACCTGGGTCTTAGTTCTGTCAGAAAATTAAGATCCCGGCAAATCTTTCCCACGTAAATTACTAAGGAATGCAAGGCCGGGTGGGGTAAACCTGTATCCAATCTGCCAGCAGCATGGCGGGGGTCAGGGAGGGGGTAGCTAGGGCTGAGGCACCAGTGGGGAGAGGTAAGGGCAGAGCTGGAGGAAGCAGGAAGCTGATTCAGGCCTGGTAGAGGATGGCAGCACAAGTGAACAGAGGTCACCTGTGCAGGGCGAGTGTGGGAAACTGTATGAGTTCAGATGGGGATACACCAGGAGAGATGCACACATGAAGCTGCTTCTGCATCCATTTTGCTCAGTCCTCGACCACATTACCAAGCACTTGCTACCCTAAAATCAAAACAGAGGTTTAAAAGAATTAAACATCGCCCTCACTCCTGATATAGATTCAGTCCCTAGCCTCTGGCCTTTGGGGAAAGTGGACGTCAAGGAAAGTTGCAGTGGATCTAATCTTGCCAGTCAGGGAGACAAGTGATAACAGCTTCTGGGAGCCCCTTACATGCATGAAGTTACAGTCATCTCATCTTCAAGCACACAACCCCAAGCAAGCACCTGCTCAGGGTGAGGAAAGCGTGGTTCCAGGTAACAGCCTTGCTGTTTCTCACTCTCCATCACTCAGGAGCCATCATTTCAATTTAATAACATTCCCCTGCCAAGGATCACCACTCTGTATATTGGCAGGGAATAACTCCCAATTCAGAATGCCACAGCAAAACTTCAGCTTGCTGCAAGAAATAGAAGCAGGGAAGTTGTCCTAGAGAGAAAGAGGAGAGACAGAACAGGTGATACCAGAGCACTGCAGAGATTAAACAGCTCCTGCTGGGCTCTAGAAATGCCCAGCTGTGTTGCCTGACTGTGAATGCAAAGGAAAGGGCCCAAGGGAGGAAAGCGTATCTTCCCTACTTCTCATCACACAACAGTCCTATGATAAACAAAGCCTGCTGCCCTTCAGCAATTCTGTAAAAAACAACTTGTGTTCAGAGAAATCCTACAATAACAAACTGCACAGTAACAGAGTTCACAGGCAACTCAAAATGAGTACATTTTCAAACAGAGACTGCAGGGGCCATAAAGACATTTTAGGAGATGGTGTTTTTTTGAAAAGCAATTCTGCTAGTAACCTTTTCAGTGAATTTACCTCTAAATTCAGCAAAACTAGCAAGATAGTAAACAGATCCAGGCTTGGCAGGAGGTATTTCATAAAACACTGGGCAGGTACATATACGTGCAGGCTCACATGCAAATTTGTTGTTAAAGTGGGGCTAGGAACAGAGTGGAGGCTGTATAAAGACCACCCTTGTCACTATGTTTATCTGCTCACTGTGAGCCCCTTCCATGTCACATCAACTCAGTATACTGACAAAAACAAGTTGTTACTGGTGTCAGACCTGCCAAGATGCTGCTGCTGTAGAGAAAGGAGCAGCAAGCTGCTCTGAATGGTGCACCATCAGCACAATTTGCAGCCACTGAAACAGAACTCTCAAGCCAAAAAAGACACAATAAGCAAAAAACCAAGAAAAATAAAGACATCTCAAGCCAGTTCTATGGGATCAAAAGCAGCCTTAACTAGTCTGGCAGTGAATGTGATTACCATCTTGGACTGACTCTTCTAAAGCCATCTTTGAATCTTTGACTCTGTCTCAGAGGTGGCTACTTTACCAGAAGTACTCCCACCTGAACACACTGGCACACGTCTACAGGCAAACAGATGTTTCTGTCCAGATGCACAGAAACGCAGATTTCTAGGCAGGACACCTGAACACCCTAGTAAATAAAGCAAGGGATAACTTTAAAACCTAGTACTGAACATTAGTTTTTGGGTTGTTCCTAGACTAAATCAGCAACTGCCCCAGCTCAAGAGGAGCCTAGTCCCCAGGGCTTCCTCAGCCTCAGAGAGTCCTGCCTGGTTCTGAGGCACCAGATGGAAGAATACAACAGTTTCTTTCAGAGACACCTTTCCCTCAAGTACGCAAACAGGGTAGCACCCACAAACATAAAAGAGTTTGCCTGGAACACACTAAGACACCTCCCACATTGCCAAGAAGTCTAGAGGAGTGTTTGCAAGACACCACCCACCACAGCAACTCCCTCACCACTGACTTAACTGACTAAATGAAGACACTGGCTTGACAGGTAGGATAATTGTGAGCTACCCTCCAGCACATCCTTTTATCAGATACACTTTGTGGAGAATGTGATAAGGTCACTGGTTTAGCAGAGTAAATCTACAGCATTCAGTCCTGCTCTGAAGTTCCAACCTGGCCTGATACATGAAATACCTTCTGCACAGCACACTACTTTCTTCACTCCCAGTTTTACATCTCTGTACTCCTAATTTTGGGTCCTTCAAGATGGTGTTTCATTGCAAGCTGACTACAACAACCTTAGGAAAGGGAACAGAATCCACAATATGGATCTTGTTAAGGACTCAAAGGGCAAATAAAACAGCACTTGAGAAGCCCAGTTTGACATTGCAAGTACTGATACGTCTCTATTCCCAAAAGAAATTTGTAGGTATTTATTTTTCCTAGTCTCAGATAAGATAATTTCTACTCTCAAGCCACGTGTTTTCCTGTTCTTAAAATAGGTGAAGTACTGGCTACCTGTCAGCTCTACTGATTTTACAGGTGGCCCCCAACAACCATATACACTGGCCAGTAGTTCAAGCCTACACAGTCCTTCATTAAGAAAACATCTCAAATTAGGGCCTCATCCAAAGTCAGTGGGATCAGCCTTAAGTCACTTACAGTGGCATCCTAAGCACATACAGTTTCTGCCTTTTGTTTCCTTCCCTCTTTACACAGACCTTCAAGCCTGTGAGAAATCCTGTTTGCATCCATTGGCACCACTCACATCTAGGGTGGAAATCTAGGCAAATCAACCATGAGCTCCTCAGAGAAGATACCATCTCTTGCCATACCTCTTCACTTTGCACTGCTGAGTGTTCGTTTTTGTTCATTTCGCATTTGGGCTCAAGGCATAGTCCAAACATTAAATAAAACATGATTATTTCTCCACTTCCCATTTGTCCTTTTATAGTGTTTCTTATGATGCAAATTCCTTGCAGCACTGCATTCTTCAAAGGCTTCCTAATGGTTTGTTTCCTCACTGCACCCGGTGGGATACTCTTCAGATACACCTCTGGCTACTATGTACCTCTTCAGTAGCTGTAAGAAAGCAAAGTGATGAGGTCCTCGGGGATTCAAATGAAAAGTGATAGCCCCACCTGGAGGAGAGATGGCTAAAAGCTCCAAAGGCACACAGTGTCACTCTTGCTGGGGAGCCAAGAGAGACAGCTCAGCCAAGCGGTGTGCCAGTCAACTCACACTCATGCTCCTGCAGCAAAGCACTTCAGGGATGAGAGTGCACAGCCTCTCATATGGTGCAAAAAATGAGGCACTGCCTCTTTTTTCCTCACTTCTATCCTTCTTCCTCCTCCAAAAATGCCACAGTAGATGGCCCATTTCTCTGAATAAATCACTGCAGATGACTGAAGAACATCTTGTTTCATAGGCACACATCCCAAAAAAAATGGACCTTCCTAATGCTACAAAATCAAAACCTAGTGATGCAGTGGCCAGAGCGTTCAGCTGACACCACTCTAGAAAGCACAAGGAGGAAAAGGAAGTGTCGTATAATTATAAGACTTACTTTACAGCTTGTTATGTGTTTTCAGTGCAAAGCTTTTGTGCTTTATGTGTTGGCAGGAAGTTTGCTAGACAGCAGTGCTCAAAATGTAGAGTCATCAAGCCACCAGCTGGCCCTGCGAGTAGCTTTTTTAGACAGCATTAGTGTCGACCATGCCTTCTAGATGAAGAGACGTCCTGGGGAGCACGTAATAGGGCAACCAAACATGATCAGCTCAGGGACTGTGAATGGGCTCTGAAGCTCTTCACCTCTCTATTACTGGTTCCATTTAGTTTGGTCACAGAAAGTCACTGCCACCTAATGGTTATTCCATGCCTCATAGGGAAGTTCATTTGCTTTTCACCTCAGTTCACCACAGGCTGAAACACAAGCAACAAGACCCACCACTGCACACACTGGCTGCGATGTAGAATAGCCCATAGACCCCATTCAAAGCTGCCTTTTTGAAGGAATGCCATGGAGAGTTTCTGGGGACTTCTCTCTGCAGATGCAGTCTACCCCCATCAGGAAGAAACTGTTTTAGGACATCACTTACTATTTAAGGCACACACTGTTACTGAATCATGAGGGAAGCCTAAAGACACTGGCTATTTCATTGGTCTGAAATACCCAGGTTATTTTTGAAAAACACACACATGTACACCCACTCCTGTTCTTTCCAGGATCCATCAGTTGGGCAATTTCACCGTGAGACAAAACTCATTCTGAAAACACCCACCCTACAGTGAGAAGTAAACATACCAAATACCAGGAATAGCCTCCAAGGAACAAGAAACTATATTCTGTATAATGATGGAACAAGGTTACGCTTTCCATTTGCCCAGGTACTGACAGCCCGATAACCATAAATTTGAATGAGAACATCGTCATTCTGCTCTCGAAAGGAGGATATTTCATTAACTTCTCCAAATGGCTTTTCCCTGACAGAGCAATTCTGTAGCCAACAAAGTTAATTCAAGAGTGGATTCCCACTGTCTCATGAGACACCTTGATCACAGATTCTTTTTCTCCTTGCTATCTCCCTTCCATTTAAAAAAATACACATGTATCCACAGTCACAGCAGTAGCCTTTTGTCTTACAGAAGAAAATTAGTCAAAAATGCCCCGCTCAAGATTTTCAACTGTGGCCACTTGTGTCAAAATCTGCAAGACAACTGACCCACGGCAATCCTCTTACTACATTGACAACAACTCAGAATCCCACTGATGCCAGCCTTAAACAAACTGCACGTTGTGACACACCTCCTGACTGACAGCAGAATCAACAGAAATTGATGCCAGCAATGTAGGAAGCGTCAGCCAAGACATCCAGATGCTACAATGAGAGGCATGCTGGAAATGTCACAAGGTAGCCTGACTTGAGACTGGGGAGACAAACACTCAAAAAAGCCAACACTCAAGGATGTGGAAGAATATCTGAGAAATGTGGCCTTCTAAAAAACAAAATCATTTGTTGAGAAATCAATAGTTAAGGAAATGGCACTGAGCAGGCTGTCCTCCTTCCTCCTCTGACCCACTGCAAGTAGGGGCAGAAACAAAAAGAAATGCCCAAACTTACATGTGGCAAAGATGTCCAGAATCATTTAATGAAACAGACATGAACTGAAGAAAGTTCGTATCTCTCCTAATGCTCCTGACACTAGACCTACGATGTCTTGGGGTCAACCACAGCTACCACTTGCCTTGACATCACTACACTGGCATTATCATCATATGCAGGAAAAGGGCACATACCCCAGGGAAGGATCTTTAACTTAGGATAAAGATAAAGTTTCCTATGTGGTCCAGCCACCAGTGGTGAGATGAAGCAACCACTGGGAAGGACATAAAGCCTGAGCACTTAAGCAGATTCATTCAAGCGACAAGACAGGAGTGGAAAAGAGAAGACATTTTTTTCTCTTGGCTGTTGCTGAGGAAAGGCTGTGAGTGCCATCAGCTAAGTGGATTCTTTTATCTCCTTGTTGACAGGAGAACCAACCTCAGGATACATGGTGAATTCCCATCTATTGCTCCCTGCGTTTATGGTAAACAGTAAAACACCCCCAATCTGCTGACCATAAAAAAGTGCTGAGAACTGAGGGGCTGAGACTATTAGCATCGAATGTGGTCCCTGAGGGACAGAAAGATATAGTAAGATTGAAGATAATTCCTTGGAGTTAATCAGGAACCTGGCTAAAAGTCCATGGGGAACCCATTTCCTTCTTAATCTGTTTTGCATTTAATTGCATCCTAATGACTGTGTTCCTGTTTGGCCCCAGTAGGTTCAGAGACTGGTGCTGCCACTGAAGCTTCCCGTCTCTCATCCGAGGCCATGGGTAATTTAGAGACTCCAATTTAATGGCTTGCTGGGAATCCATGGAGAGCGAGTTAAGCATTATTTGTACTGGAGTAGCACCCAGCAGTACCTTGCTGAGTACAAGGAAGAGATCCACAGAAAAAAAGTGTTTTGCCACTCCCACCTGCAAGCTCATCTCAGACATATATGTAGCTGCACCACCTCACCGGAGACACAGGCACAGCAGCCACATCCAGACCTTTTGGCACCATCTGCAGTCCCATGGCCACCATGTCACACACACATACACCCTGCCTCACAGAATCTCTCTTCTAGGAACAGCACCAAAACTGAGTCTGGAAATCAGTAGCCAATTCATATACGTGCTTAAAAGAAAATTCTAAACTCTCAATTTATGAAGAGGAGGTTAAACTGGCCTCACTGGAAGGACAGAATGCAAAGAGAGTATGATGAATCGCTGACAGCACCACAGATCTCTCCAGGGAAGAAGCTAGTAGAAGCAACATCTGGATAAGTATCCTTAATACACAACACTTACCTGGGAGGCGAATTCACATCTTCTTGGCCCCCTCCAGTGACTTATCTTTAGTACCAACTCCAATGGGGCAACTTCTTAAAAGTGATTCTGAGCTAGTACAAGACTAACAAAATCAGCTCCCACAGAGAGTTAAAAGAGCTGCAAAATGGTAAAGACTTGGTTGCCATTTACTTAGAACTGCACTGAGATAAAGGATTTGGTGTGCAATTGTCCAGGCCCAAAAAAAATCTCCCACGCCAAACCGATGCTCCGCTACTACAAGCTCTACAGGGATGTTGCTGAGGAACCCACAAGTGCTGTCACTGCCAGGCTCAGTGGTGGCACTCCTTAACAAGAGGACAGGCCTCCACTGGCCAACATGTTTTACTAACTCATGCTACGTCTGTGCCTGCTTTCTCTTATCTCCCAGCTCATGCCCCTTCATGCAGCCAAAGGCTAGTGCTGGCTATGCCCCAGAGTCCTCCTGCGCCATGCTGGCATGCTGTGCTTGCCGCTGGCTCTGCCACATGCAGGGGCTGACTCAGCTAGTCTTGGCTGCCAACGGGGAGGGTGCAGCTCTGTGCAGTGCCAGGAAACAGGGCCCTTTCTGGATGCTTGAGGCATGGATTGATGAACCATCAAAATCTGCATGACAGATGTTAATGAAGCTATGGGAGACACAGCAAAAGTGTTTGCAACGGCTGTTGCAAACTCTGCCAAATGATAAGCTGTCCACAGCACTGATAACTCGGTAACTCGGGCATCACTTAAAAAAGCTACAAACAGCCCTTCCTTCAAAGGAACAGGACAAAGACATGGGCAGAGGGGCAGTGAAGCTCCAGACTCCCACACATCTATTTCCATTTTATTCCAGGGCATCAGTGCCACTCACCTGGGATGTGGAGCTACAGCAGAACACCTTAGCAGTAGAGGATGAGAACAAGCTCAAGGAAGCCATTTTGCAAACTATCCCATATACACTAAGACCATATGGATGATGTGGATTTTCTGCCAGAGGAATACTACACCATACTGGAGAGCAATGACACTGATTTCTACTTTACCCAACACTGTTTCCAGCTTTACAGTCCCTCCAGTCTAACACTCCATGCAGTATGACCACATCAGTGGCCTAAGAAGAAACATTAAGAAGAAAAATGAGGTTAAATACCTTACTTCAAACATACTATGCAGACTGGCCTAATGTGGCACAAGCCATATTTCCCACTCTAAGCAGGTCTGAAGCTGGAATAGCAGAGAAACCCTGGCTACATACACCACATGCACTCAGCTAAAACCAGATGTCATTCACAGCTCAAGGTACTAGAGGGCTGTACTAGAGGTGAAGCACAAGACTTGAAAAGAGAAACAAGGGTGCTTATCTTCCTTCTCACCAGAAATGTTTTTTCTATTAATGTTAATTACTGATATCAAAACACAATGTGTTTTTCACTAAGATGTACACTTCTTCACACAATTCTCACTTCCTTAGAAATCTGCAAGTCTGATTCATCCCTATTATTTCCCTTTCAACACACTCATCCTACTTAAATCCCTCAGCCTTCATGTTATGGCCACTACAAATCAAAAAGCAGGATAAAAAAGCACTGACAGGCCACTCTCAGCATTGACCTCCACACAACCAGTCTGGCAGTGAACCCATGGCACAGTCCAAACACATCTTACTCCACACACCAACTACTTGAATTGGACATAAGCAAGCACCGGTTGCATGTGGCTACTTTTATCAAGGGACCTTCTCCATTGGGCAATGCAGGTCCTGCAAGAAGCTTATCTAATATGGAGCTGTTGTCTAATGTAGCTGTTAACAATTTGGTAGACAGCATATTGAATTATTAAGCTGACAGTTTCACAGCAATGGCTTTGGCAACACACCTGTGCCTTGCACTTTCCAAGGAACACAGTTCAGTGCTATTACCTACCTGTGATTTGAGGAATTCATACTCCTCTGTTCCATATGGGACACTCCGAAGAGAGGTGAGGTAGTCATAGGTGATAACTGCTGTCTGCAAATGAAACCAGAAATGTTGAGCAAGCTCTGCAGTTATCAAAACAATAAGACATCTGTTAAGGAGAATGTATATAGCTTAGGCTTCAAAGTTTAGGATCCACAGTGAAGCCTGTGGTAACAGACCCATTAGTAAATTAAATGAAAATATTTCAATTTCAATGAATGCTTATAAAAAACAGTGCAGGGGCCTCAATGATATGTAGTTATTAAAAATAAGCAACACTTGGCACTCCTATATTATCTTCTATTTGAGGAGCTCAAAGCATTTTCCTAATCTCTGCACAGCACCTTTCAGAGTGGGTTCCATTCTTAGTCAACCATCTGGGGCTTCCACCATAAGGTCTGCTGCTAGTAACAGAGGCCACACAGACTCTGTTTGTGCCCCATCAGTTATCCCACGCTGCATCTTCACACCTCCAACCTGCCTAACCAGCTCACTCTGGGTAGACGGCTCAGCAGGGAACAGAATGACTGAAGACAAGCTCACAGTTCAGCACAAGCAGCAGTACTTTCGGGGATATTCAACTGCACAGAGGACCACAGGGCTAAAGGGTCAGATACCAATTACAAAATCACAATATGGGGATCCAGCTAAAGCTTTTTAGCTAGACACAGCCACAGACAATGAAATTAGATTCCTAAGTGCCTCAATGATTTCTGAAAACAGATCTAGGGTATTCCACAATTCCTATGACCAAGGTTCCTCTCTTTCCATAGTCAGAATGCCAGTGAATGGAAGTGAAGCATACAGGTCGTGTTTGGACAGAGAGAAGGGAATGTACACCTGGAGGAGCCTGTCCACTAACCTGTCTTTGGACTTCAAGATCCTTGCCATGAAGAACCATTTGCACAACTTCCATCAAAAGCCAGTTTTCCTAAAATCTCCCTGCTGGAGAGGTAGCATACCATTCTGGCACAGGACACTAGCCCCATGTTTCATCAGAAACATGCCCAGGAAGGGCATAAAGTACAGCTGATGTATCATGAAAACCAGGGAGGCAAGGGAATCAAACCTGGTTTGAGACAAAGCCAGTGGAACTGATGATAGGGAAACACTCAAAAGCTCAGAAAAGCATCCAAGAGGGGACTAAGCTGGGAATCAGTTACAAACAGACACACTCCTTTCTTGTGGAGGTTAGGTTTCTCATGTTTCCTGTTTTCCAAATTGTAAACTGAGCATAGCAAATTTTTTTTCTGGCTTTTCAGGCTCTCTTGCCCCTGGTGAACTCAGGAGCCACACAGAGACCATTCAGAAGAAAAATTTTTCAAAGCATCTTCACAACCTCAAAGAAAACTTTGAAGTGGAGGGAGGTTCAAATCAGCCTTGCATGAAGGCTTGAGTTGTTTCTTATGTTATCTCTGGTCCACGAGGGTAATTATCACCTCCAACTTGAAAAGAAGCAGCTAACAGATTGGCCTGTATTACAGAGGAAGAGGGAATTAATTAAGCGGTTGCTAATTACATCGTAATCTTAAACACTAAATTAATATTATGATGATCCTGATAGGCAACTGTGACATTGCCAAATCCCTGCCATTGCCTAAGATGTATTCCAGTTACTGCACAGAATGTTCCTTCCACATAACCAAAACAACTGGGATACTCTCAAAGGAATACGGCAAACGCACAAGGGCTCTGCCAGGTTTCTAATTTTACCAGAACACAGAAACTCTCTGCAGCGTGATGCTGCCCACACCACCAACTTCGCTCTCATCCACAAGTGCTGTCATTCACGTTACAGCGTGAGCCTGAGGTTTGGAGATACAAAACAACCTACAAAGTCAAGCAGTCCCTCCCTTTACAAATGCCAGATTACTTTCATTATCTTGTATCCTGTCCAGTGTCAAACATCCCAAAGACTTGGGCTTCACTTTGTATCAATGACCTCTCAACATCACACACTTCCACGGCTCCTAAACCTATCCTCAGATCTTAACAAGTCACGGTTCCCTCTGAATAGTTGTCTCTCTGTACGTAACCAAGAGCCAGTTCTGTAAACTGAGGCTTAAAAAGAAATTTTCTGCTAATGAGCTTCATCAAGTTTCTTATGGAGTCTGCAAAGAACTACTGAACCAGCATGCTTAAAATACAAGCCAACTGAAATCTTTCTAGTCAAACTCAGATAAAATCTGTCTGGAGTCTCAAAGTTACAGGTCAGGTTTCTTAATCCTCATGTGTTCTCACGGCTTCTCTTTCGTTTTGTTTTGCTTGCCATTCCATAACTCGTTTTAAATTTTTATGTCTGCTGCTACTGAACTTATTCGCTCTTAAGAATCACAGTCTCTTCATCACAGTCTGCTTTTGCCTGACTGAATAAAGCATCCAAGTAAGACGCCTGGGCAGGTCTAGACTGAAGGACAGATACTTTAGGTCCATGTAGATGCCCCCAGTATCCAATACCCAAAATCACTTGTTCGTTACTGAGTCTTATCTTTCATTTACAAAACCAGCAAGCCCTAAGCTGAGCTTCTTAGCAGTAAACATGTCTGCTCTACTGGCTTCTCCTGGTCCATGGCTAAGGAAGGACAGCAGTTCAGGCTGTCTGTGCTCAGATGACAGCTGACCTCTGACTGTCCAACAGGGAACAGGCCCCAAACTGGGAAGGCAGAGGTCACTGGCACAGCAGGACTAAAGAATCTCTCAGAAGCAACCCAACCATATGCAGTCATATAAAACAGAGGAAACACAGAATTCAAAGAGAGACAGAACATTCTTGTTTGAAAAGTACACAGACACGCAGATTTAAACTCATGCTGCCATCCCCTGCAGAAGCCTGAGCACTGGTAACTTGTTTTTTGGGGTCACTGCTCGCAGCTATGGGTGCAGAACCCTCTAATGCACTCAAGAGCAGGGCCAGTGAAGCGCTTTACAGCCAATGACTTGTGACTTCCCTGAAGGCAGAGAACATGAAAGTCAAGCATGTCTGTAGATTTGCCAGCATCTAAAGCAAAGAAAATCTCCTTTCCCCTACTTTCTATTCACCAGGAAAGTAATCTCTCACCATCGCTCAAAACACAGACCAACTGCCCAACTTCATACTTCTCACTTATTATTTTCTTAAACAGAAGATTGCCACAAAACAGTGGCTTCAGAAAGACTGAGAAACAATGGTCAAGCAGGTAGAACTCAAGGACAGACTGGTGACCTCAAACAGCCTGAACAGAAGATTCTTCTCCAGCCACAATAAGTTGTATTCCCTCTCCATGCCTCAATTTTCTGTGCCTTTAAAGAGAAAGGGATGCTCCCTGTCACCTAGCAGCACTGTCTTATGGCTAGGGACAAAGCACGAAGCTTAGCACATATTAGGTAAGAAGATTACAGTTTGCATTTCTGCCCTCACTCTTTTAAAATAAACATTCATTTTTCACAATAGTTCATGATGCTGCATGCACATGGCACCTGAGCCAACCCACGGAGCTTGTTTCTTATTGCATCTGCCCTCAGGAGCTGACTCCCTGTAAAACTCATTAATGAAGTGCTTAGAAGTCATAGAAAATGCAGACAGACAGCTGCTTACCACTGGGGGTCTGTAAATGATGGAGATTGTGGCCTGAAGTGACAGATGTATAATGCAACTGAGGTACAGGGAGACTGATACCCCCTCCAGAGTCTCTGCTCTCCATGTTCCTGGCTGCTCATGGATTCATCAGTGAATATCCCCTAGGAGAGGGCAGAAGCCTATTTGGCTAGCAGTCTCCATTCCCAGGTTTTCTGAGAAATATCAGTGATGCTAGGCAGATTTATTTTAATAGCATTTATTTTACACATCTGGAAACCACTCCAACCTCAGAAGTACGTCATCTTCCACCCTCACTTTACTCAAAACACCAGTCCTTCTCTCCCCAGATCTCTCATACTAAGGGTCATAGGGCAATGGCTACCATTCTTTATCAATACAACAACCAGGATCCCTAAAAAAAAATGTTGCAATTTAAAACATGGCATATAGAGAGAAGATGGTTTGAACTAAGCCACTGTGAAAGGCCACAGGAGATGGCTGACTTGGTGACTGACCTTGAAAGGTTGCTGATGAAGATGTGGGCCCAAAGCGAGCCCTTGCTCCAAAGGTCCCACCCTATCCAGGGAAGCAGAGATAGCTCTCTGCAGCCTAGTAGCTCCATTTGTTCCTTTCCAAAATGTGGAAACAACAGCTCTATTCCTTATGTGCTTTCATGTGTCTTCTCCCCACTGTGTGAAGAACTTGGAGAGCTAGCTCCCTATGGACCTTCTGACTTCCAGAGCCAGCTGCCAACGAGAAATGCAGAGGGAATGCAAGAAATTGCAAGTTCTTGTGAACTTCAATTCCCTTAACCATCTATGCGTCTTCCTGCACATTACTATGGTAAAACTTACTGTGGCAATGGCTCGGCCCACACGAACAATTCCAAAATCATTAGGATCCAGGAACTTGTTTCCATACATATAGATGCCAGAAGCAGCTGCTGTCAATGAGGCAAGTTTCAAAGCCCTTCCCGCCATGACTGCTGAACCCTGCGAGACACAAAACAGCAACTGTAACATCTAATAAGGACTTAGTGATCTGATGCCTACAGCCCCAAAGGATCTGACAATCCAAGTTTTAATTGCTCCTTTCCTAATGACACATTGCTAGCACTGCCCCCAGCCGAGAGCTCAAACAATCACCCAGCAACTGAACCTAAGCCATTCATTGCTATTCCTAACTCAACAGTGTCTATGGGACACAAATCCAGAAGTAACTCACTGCTAGACCTTGTGCATCCACAACACAACATTTGTTCAGGGTCCCAAAAGCTTTTCAAGGAGAAAAAGGGGGACAGAGAGAAGGCAGCATGAGATCATCAAAAGTCAATTCTGGTCCTAGCAATAGGTCCCTTCTTCAATGCAAATTCTTGAAAATACCACAGCATAGGCAGACTGCAAGGGGATAACAGAAGATATAAAAAAGCAGGGTTTAAAAAGAGCTCTTGCAACATGAAGAGCATCCAAAACTTGTTAGAAACTCTGCCAGGCTAGTTCTAAAAGCCATACATCCCAGGTGGTTGTGTGCGACTCCAGCAGTCAGAGAGTAATGCA